CAGGAGGAGAAGGGGATGACAAGGATGAGATGGTTGGATGGCATCACCAACTCGATGGATATGAGTTTGAGCAAGCTCTGGTAGTTGGTGATGGACAGGGAAGCTTGGGCTGCTGAGCTGGGATCGCAGAGTCGGACATGACTGAGCAACTGAACTGAGCTGTCCTCTTAGTGCTTAGCTTTATTGGTGAGAAAGAAATAAATAGAATTTCTTAAATTATTTTAAAGAAGAAGTCACTGAAGAAAAATTAGTGTACTGCTTAAATAGCAAATGAGCACAATGGAAAGAGAAGCAATCATGTGATTATAACAGCAGTGGTAGTTGCAGTAGTAGCTGCTAACATTTTTAAGCACTTCCTTTATAGCAGGCATTGCCCAAAGTATTTTATGGAGTTATTTTAAAAATGTGAAAACCAAAGAAAGCACAGAGAAGTTAACACTGAGGCAGAGTCATGATGCTGTATGACAGGCTCCTTAAACTGCCCACTTAATCACAACGTGTATTTATCAAATATATTTGCCAGTATTTCCGTGTTTGCATTGTTATACATTTCCTACGTGTTATTTGGTTCATTGGTGGCAAAATGGCTGATCTAGTCTAAAATCAGTTTTGCCTGCTACTTAATAAACCTTGCTGTGCTTGCCATTTTATGTAAAAGTGCAGAATTTCATGAATTTAAAAGAAATCATCTCACAGAGTGAATTAGCTTCAATTCCTAAGAAATTAGAGTTCCCAAAGAATCAAGCACATTTGGTTTAACAGATACTAAGCCTTTCTCTCCTGTAGTTCTGCTCCATAAGCTATTTAATCTTGAAAAAATGTTGCTTTGTGATTCTAGATTCATTATTAATTAATGACTTACATCTCTGTTTAAAATTAGTTTAATAATCTTTATAATTGGGTCTTAAATATCTAGAGTGATTTTTTAAAGTTTAGCTTAATGCTTGTTTCTTCTATTAAGAGTAACATTTTTTTCCTTAGCAATTTCCTTTTTGGTATTTATGTTAAGTGCCAGAAAAAAACTGATTGTGGGACATTATTGATCTATCTGTAAAATTAAAAATTTAACCTAATTTTATTAGTTGTCATAAAAATTCTTTCCTGAAATTTCAAATTCCATCAGTCATAATTTTTCTTTACTATAATATTCCTATCATGCATTTAACCCATACTGCTTCATATTCTATTTACGTGTGTGTGTCTTTCATTATTGGATGATCAGCTTCTATGGAGCAGGAACCCTATCATATATTAATACATCCTTATATCTTGCCTTTCATCCTCCTCTCAAGCTGGAAGTTATTGCCTTGCCCAAAGTGGACAGTTTAAATTGTGGTAGCAGTAAGTTAAAGTGTGCAGATAGAATTTTAGAAGTTGCTTCAGCCCTAGAGAGAGGGGTAAGGTGAGGATAGTAAAGCGATCTGACAAGAAAGAATAGGAAGAAAATACTGCTCTGTGAACATGCCTTACATCTTAAGCTACTCTCCTGAAAGGAGAGGATGAATCCTCAGGTCATCATAATGGGTGAATATTTGATAAGTCTCTCCTTTATAGTGAAGAATAGTTTCTTAGTGTTAATACCATATTTCTTATTATCTAGTGAGTCATTTGTCCAACCTGTTCATTGTAGTCAGCATAATTAAGAACCACTAGAAAAACAGGATCAGGAGTTTCCCTGATTGAAAAATAAATAATATTGCTATGGCTCTTGGTGGGCTGGTTCCTGTGGACTCACTATTATATCATGTTTCTTTGACTTGCCACTCTTTGAAGTTTGTTATGCATTGTGATTTTTTATGGAAATCGAATAGATGATTTGGGAAGAGCCAAGTACACTGTGGTCAAGCCCTTGGCCCACCTGACCTTCCCAGTTCTTAATTCTCTGTGAGTTCTTCATTCTGAAGAAATTGGGTCACTTCAACAATACCTTGCCCTCCCTGCAAATTAATATCAGTTGGCCAAACAAATGAAATCGTTATCCTGGGCTTTCATCTGTGTCTCTCTAAACCTTCAGATTGAGAACTACTATGTCTTCTAACCAAATGTTAGGATGCATCCAACTCTAGAATGTCTGTTTTTTTCTCCATACTATTTGTATATTTTCCCTCATCACTTCCTCATTGCCTCATTGGCTCCTTTCTGTCCACTGTCTCCTATGTGGATCCTCTCTATCCTCTTGCATTCTCTCATCTCTATGACTCTGGCTGTCTGGAGAACATTGAGGCATTTTTTTTTGTTCATGCTTACATCTGTGTCTTCCCTGAAAACATATTTTTTCTCTATTTCCTATGTTCAGTTGTCTTTAACGTTCACATTGATTGAATGCCTTTATTTTCTCATTGTCTAATCCTTTCAGCGCGCGCGCGCGCACACACACACACACACACACACACACACACAGGAGTACTAAGTCACTTCAGTCGTGTCCGACTCTTTGCAACCCTTGAACTGTAGCCCACCAGACTCCTCTGTCCATGGGATTCTCCAGGCAGGAATACTGGAGTGGGTTGCCATGTCCTCCTCCAGAGGATCTTCCCAGCCCAGGGATAGAACCTGCATCTCCTATGGCTCCTGCATTGCAGGCAGATTCTTTACCACTGAGCCATAAAAAATATATGTTTTATATATATATATATAAAATATATAACATATATAATATTATATATATATATAAATTCACTGATGGTTAAATGAATTCTGGCTCCAGTAGAGCCAAACAAGAATCCTGGTCACTTTTCCTTCCTCCAACCTCTGCCCTGAATAGCAGGATCTGTTTGTTTTTTCATTATTGTTTAGTTCTTTTCTCTTTTTACTTTATACATACCATATAAGGTTGCTAGTATCTCTGATCAGGTCCTTTGATGAGAAGTTCTAATAAAATGACCTGCTCTTGCAAAACATCACAGGACCTCAGGAATTTAGTGCATGTGATTCTCTATTTGAAAGCATTGCTGATAGTATACCCTAGGACTGGAACAGTGTTCCACCCAGCAGGAGAGACTGTTATTACATACCCTATCTGGCACACACTGCTATTCTACAAATACCAGACCCTGATGATGTTCATGATGATGGTGACAGTGTGGGCGAATGTTTTGAAGGCAAAAGGACAGAAGTAGGAGGAGAACAGAGACACCAGTAATGAGGTGGGGGTAGTGAAGAGCGTGAGTCAAGAAGAAATAGCTGCTGAGACAGATGGATTACAACATGTGTTAGTTTATCTTTGTTCGCCTGCCTCTGGGTGGTTGTTTTTTTTTTTTTTTTTTTGCCTCTGGGTTTTAAAAGGAGCCAATAGTACCACATCAAAGTTGTCACCATCAAACCATCCAGACTTCTCATCCTCCCCTGCTTCATCCCATGTGGCTTTCGGAGGACTGATGCTCCTCCATTTTATCGCCTCAGTCACCCAACTCACGTGGGGTGAGGGTGGGGAGTGAGCTAAAAGATAGTTAGGTAAAAATAAGATGAAGATTTAATTAAACTTCCTGAGTGCCTGCCAGATTTAATCTAATTGTCACAACAACTTTCCAACACCAACACTCTATTAGATCCACACGCTAGAGGACTCGGTGATGCAGCCACATCCTGGCCTTCTTTGCTTACATCGCTGCCTCATCCTGGTTTGGTTTGAACCCCAGGAAAGGCTTCATCTTCTCTCTGAGCATAATGCTTTTTTTAAAAAGGCAAATTTTTCTGATGTTTTATGCACTCTGAAAAGCAAGCAAACAAGCCAACAGAGCACTGTTTTTGTTGTTGTTTCTTATTACTGAAGGGAGATCCTGATCTAGATGCATGGCAAATGTCTTACACATTTGTTTCATCCCAGCCTGATTGTTGCCAGGCTTATGGTATATATTGGCAATTAACTTCATAGTGCTGTGTGGTAGGAATTGGGAGTAACAAGTGGCACAATAGTAAGGGTGTTATTGAGTGAAAAGGGTGATAATGTAGATGGAGGATTTTTAGAGTACGTTTTGATCATCCTCTTGGTTCCATCATCCACATTCATTTTGAGTTCAGGTTAATGATGATTGAAAGTTTTTTTAAAAAAATAAGTCACCTTTGACTGGTTTCATTTTCTATTACTAATGTAAGTGATGGGCTTATTTTTTTCTTTGTTTTAAAATAATAGAGGGAAAAAGGAACAGGGAACTAAAAGGCTTAAAGAGAAGCAGCATATTGAAAATAGGGAAGCATATTTACAAAGATAAGACATTAATTTTTTTCTCTAGCTCTTGCCTGAGATTTGGAAAAATGAGGCATGAAAAATGTGTCGTTTAGTGTCTTCAATATATTCTACTGTGGTCCTGTCACTATAATTGGGCTAACCAAAAAAGATAATTTTTGCCATTTTACTGACTAAATTTCTTTTTATCAAAATGGCCTGCATCTTGCTATATATGATCAGTAGAAAATAATGTGATTATGAGTTTGTACCATATATAATATTAAGAATACAACATTGGTTTCATTTTAATCACCTTTCTTACTTAAAAAAAGAAACAGCTATGGATATCCTTAAAATCCTTGAATTTTAATGTCTTTAGATTTGTGCTCATCTTTATGGCATTTGATAAGTAATTATTCATAGACTTCATAGAGTTTTTAAGAAATTAGAACTCCCATTTTAAGATCAGTGTCTTCCAGGGCTGAATAGCCCCTGCCATTTGCAAGGATGAGTTTGGTGCAGGGGTGTTTCTGTCTGGCAGGGAATGGAGAAGTGGGTGTTGGGACTAGCAGTCAAACTTCCTCTTCTTAGTGTTCTGTTCCAAGTTTTTTCCAGCTTCTAGGAAGCTTCTTTATAAGTGGATAAACTAAGGTGATCAAATTGGAAAAGTGTTCTCTAGATATTTGTCTTATAGATTCTGTTAATTTTGTCTGAATGTTAATCTTCAGTTTAAAACAATGACACCATAGATTTGGACTTGATGAAACAATTTCAGTTTCTGTTCATGCTATTTCTGTCCTTCTGTTTTTAATTCTGTTCTCATTTAATTTAGGTTTAGCTGTTTCTTTACAACTCTTGCATGGAGACATTGAACAAATCAGAAGGGAATACTCATCAGTATTTTCTCATGGAGTATCCATCACCAGGAAGTTGGGTTTTTCTAATATTATTATGCCTGGTAAGTGACTCAGAATGAACCACATGATGAAATATGGCTATTTTGTCTCCTTTTGGCACTTGAGAAAGTTTCAAACTGTCAGCTTCAAAGAGTTCAAATGGGCCATGCTGAAGAATAAATTGAGATACTTAATTCTTTTTTTTTAATCTTTACATTTTTTTCACATCAGGAAGGATAACTTGCGGGGACCATGCCTGCTTTTCATTATGAGCATAATAAGAAGGAAAGCTGAAGTTGAATACAGAAAATATTTTACCCTTTGGTGGGAAGTATTACTGGAGTCACTTAGGAGAAATCCTTACAGTTTTGATAAGAACATTTATTAAGCAATGGTAGCCTTTCTTGGAGGATTTTCCACCAGAGGTATATGTGTATGTAACTAAGCAGCCATATGCAAATACCATATGTATTTTTGGTTCTATTTGTGTATATACATCAGATCTATATTAGCAACCAAAAGAGACTCCAAAAGAGAATCCAAAAAAATGTTTGAGTGGAAATGGTAGAGATTAAGGACATTCACACTATCAAAGTAAATGCCAAGTGATAGTCTTTCGTAGGGTCCTGCATCCTACTCTACACAACCGAGCAAAAAAAATAGAAAAACCAAACAGTCTCAAATTGTTGACAGTATTTTTGGAAATAAGATCCTTTAAGTCACTGTTTAAATCCCATGTGTAAAAAGCAAACCGTGAATATTGCTTCGGACAAGGCCCCCTATTACAGCTGTAAGACTTAGTGGTGGGATTGTTGTCCATAAAGACCTAACACGTTGCAGAAACTGACCGGTATTGATTGCTGTGGCATTTGATCTCCTGATGGAAATCACTCATGCAGGGAGGGCTAAGAGAACAGCCTGGAAAGTTTCCTGAGATGACCTGACCCAGCCTAAAGACCCAGTCTGCCTGAGCATCTCCTGTTACTATTGTCAAAAATGACTGTTTATAGCACTGTTTACTTGATGGCATGTTATCCACTGGCTCTTGGAACCATTCATTATTTCCTTCAGTTGCTATAAATAGCTAGTATTTCCTCTTTAGCAGAAAAGAAAAAAATTTCATCCCACTGGGAAGCAAATTGATGGGTAAATCTAATATAAAAAACATATTTTAGAACAGAATGCAGCCAGCTGCTAGAAGAATTCCTCAGCTTGGTCTCCGAGCAGAATCATTGAGAAATGGAAAAAATATCAAGCAACATGACACTTCACTGGCTGAATAATTGTCTGGGATGTGCTCTGCTCACGCAGCTCTTGTCTGGCTTTAATGATGGAAATGAACTTACTGTGGAATCAGGCTTGCTTCTGTCCCTTCCCTGCACCACGTTATAATGGCAGGGTTGACGCTGACCAGGGACTCAGTCTTCCCAGACACATGTCTACAGTGCCTGAGACTGCAAGAGATTTTTTTTTAAAGCACTTTCCTTTTCTTCTTTCATTTTTTTTCTTCTTTGGCTTCTGAATCTTACAAATTGGATGGAGAGATGTGTGTATAAACTTAAACAGCTGAAAAGAAAGCAACTTTACAACTCAATGGAATGTTTTACATTGGCAAACGTAACAGCCGTTGTTTTGTTTTTCTTTATTTTCAGAATTTTGACTTGCCAATTAATTTTCACTCTCTCACTTGTGGCTTTGATGAAAACTTGAGCTGAGTTTTCAATGAGAAAAATGTATGTGAACAGCATTTCTGATCCCAGTGTTGTGCTGACAGTCTGCTAATGTGATGTTTTTTTTTTTCTTTTTCTAGACTTGTCCTTCAGGGTTAATTTGGGTTCTGATAGAGGTCAGGATGGGTGAGGCATGTGTTTATACCTACAGGACCTTCATTAACTTAGTCACTGCCTTTCTGCAGAATGAATTATCTGTGGTCCTGACACTAATGAGAACATACACACAACTTTTCTTGAGGGTCACAGAGTGTCATCAATGCCAAACTCTTTTTGGAATGGGAAAAACATGGAAATAGAGATTCAAGTCTTGGTCTGTCTGTTACACGGTTGATCTCTGGAATGTCACCTGGTATAAAGAGGCAACCTGCCCCTATGTTTTTGCCTTATCACGAAGCCCTCTGTTACTAAGGGTCAGTCATTCAGCACTTTATTTCTTAGCCCTACAGAATTTCCAAAGAAGAAAAGTTTTTCTCTATGAAGCTCCATTACTGCCACTTACAAACCAAATAACCCTGCAGAAAGTTCCATGGTCTGGTCTCTGAGTTTATGAGAGGGAGGGCACTGAAAATGTTTCAATCAGTGCTCTCCAGTAGAAATATAATACAAGCCACAAATATAACTAACTTTTCTAGTAACCACTTTTAAAAAAGGTAGGAAGAAAGAGATGAAATTAATTTTAACAGTATATTTTATTTAACCCAATGCATCCAAAATATCCTTTTCATAGATAGCCCATATAAAAATTTTGTAATGAGTTATTTTATGCTATTTCAGCTTAAGTCTTTGAAGGCTGGTAACTGTTACACTTTACAGCACATCTCTTTTCAGCCAAGTCCCATTTCAAGGACTCAGTTGCCACATGTGGCAGTGGTTACAGGATTGAACAGCCAAGCTCTAAATGTCTTAACAGACTGTACAAAGCAGAGCTTGAGCCTTTGCTGAATACCAGGAAGGACTAATTTTCCACCCGCCAGACATTTTGGAACAAAGTCGGCTGATGTGTCAGGAACGTCATGGGCGATCAGGCCATGCCCTCCTCCCACCCTAGGGGTCCACTCTTATTCTGAGTCTGTGATTCTTTCTAGGCAGTCATCCTGGTCTCCATGCTTTATCTCCCTACCTGTACACACTCTCCTGGAGACTCATTCTCATGGGTGTGTGTGTGTTAGTTGCTTAGTCATGTCTGACTTTTTGCAACCCCATGGACTATAGCCTACCAGGCTCCTCTGTCTGTGGGATTCTCACGTATCAGCCAGTAAAACTGTCCCTGATTGTTGTGTGTGTATGCTCAGTGGCTCAGTTGCGTCCAACTTTGTGTGACCCCATGGACTGTAGCCCACCTGGCTCTTCTGTCCATGAGATTTTCCAGGCAAGAATACTGGAGTGGGTTACCATTTCCTCCTCCAGGGGATCTTCCTGACCCAGGGATCAAACCCACATCTCCTGAGCCTCTTGCATTGCTAGGTGGATTCTTTACCACTGAGCCACTGTAATTAATACCTTCCAGTGCATTCACTTTTAGTACATCTTTAAAGTTCCTAATCCTGCAAGGACTTATGGGAAAGTTGTAGAATGATGGGGCCATGAAGGGTTGAAATTTGGAGACTAGAAGACCTTGCTAAAAATTACTAACAGAGCCTATGTTTCAAATGGTTGCCAGCAATAATAGCTGTGATAGTGATTTCAAGATTTAAGTTTATTTTCCAAGTGTCTTCAAGAGTAAGCCTCCTTTTCATTTTTTAGGCAACAGTTCAGGTAAGTCAAATTTCTATTTGGGCAAAGTTGACTAGATAATGATTTACAAGACTGGGGAAAGAAAAATGTTGTAGATATATTTGCCTCCCATTTAAGAAGATATATAGTTTTATTCTTTTAAATATATATATTATTATTTACCACTTACTGGAAGAGATATGTACATCACCAGATGGAATTGCCTCAATTCTTTTAGAGAAAGAGGTGGGAACCTACTTGAATTGGTCTTCTCTAAAAAATATATCCTAAATCGAATTAAAATTCACCACCCCCTAGGCCAAGTCATGGACCTCTACATCACACAGTTGCAACTGGTCTGTTTAAATCTGAACCCCCTGTTGATCCCCTTACCAAGGGGACAGTGGTCTCTCAACCAACAAATGCCACAGTGACCAAGGAGAGAGAGAGGCTAAGAGTCTATTGCGTCACCCTAAGGGTGGATCCCCGCCCAAGTTCACACTGGGGGAGAGGCTGGTGCCCCCAGATTAGTAAGCTGACATGCCCCACTGCCCATGGGTATAGGACTTTCCCTAACTGCTACTATCAGAGACGCATGTGTTGTCCTAGAGTGTAAAGGGCACCCTGTTCCTGCTCCTTTTTCTCTGCACTGCTGCCTGGAAAGCCCCTCATGACTGCTGTTGCTATCATTTGCCACTGCTTGTTTGATAGTCATCAAAAAAAAGGTAAAAATCTACCCCCTCAAAAGTTCAACATTTCAGTGTACTCTTTTAAAATAAAACAGAAACAAAACACCAGGTATGTTTTACTCAAGCATACTCCATGTGAGAAATCCAAAGTTCATTTTTCATCCCGTGCATAAATTTTCCTTGTATGTGGTTTGCTTTGATTTCCGTTGCGTGGAAACCTGGCCCTTGCCCTGTCCCCTCCTTGAAGATGTCCTGAGGTAAGGGAAGTTTAAGTGTGCATGGCACCTTGTATTCATTTCCTATGACTGCTGTAACAGATCAGCACACGTGGAGTGGCTTAAAACAATGCAAATGGACTACAGTTCTGGGGATGAGAAGTTTGCACGGGTCTCTCTGACCATGGGATCAGCAGGGCTGTATTTCTTCTGATGATTCTGAAGGAGAATCCATTTCCTTGCCTTTTCTAGCTCCTGGAGGTGGCCTGTACTCCTTGGTTCATGGCCCCACATCATTCAACCTCTGATTCTCTCATCGTATCTCCTTCTCTGACCCTGATTTTTGCCTCCCTCTTATAAGGACCTTTGAAATTAAATTGAGCCCATTCTCATAATCGAAGAAAATTTTCCCATCACAAGAGCCTCAACTTAATTATGTCTGTAAAGCCCCTTTTGTCATGTAAGGTAACCTATTCACAGGTTCATGGGATTAGAACCTGGACATCTTTGGGGAGGTAAGGAAGTGCCTGCTACACAGACAAAGGGCCATCCAGCTCAGCTACATGTCCAGTGCATGAATTTCTTCTTTGGGTCCCTGGGGATGGTTTCCTGGCTGTACTTGAGTACTTAAATGGCCACGATCACATCATCACATCTCATGTCATCTCTCAAAATGACTTCTTTCATGTTGAGCTAGTTTCCTTCTACCGTCTATCTGCTGGGTTGAGTTTTCCTGCTTGTAACCTCAACATTTCAAAGTTCAGTTAACTTCTTGTCACCCTCATCTCTCCACCGATGAGTACCTTCTCCATATTGTTTATGGTCTGAAGCATACATGTTCTGTCTCGTTCCCAGAAATGAAATCATTGCTTGACAACTAGTCTGGCCAATTAGGGTGGGACTAATATCTTCCTTGCTTAGGGCATTGGTCTTTTGGAAGCAAAGGCTAAATTGCGCTAGCTTATTTGATGAATGTTCTTACCTGTTGAATTACATTTTCATGGGTAAAGCAGAGATACTGATAATACATTGGACATGTTTCTTAATCTCTGGACTTCAGTTTCCTCATCTGTAAAATGGAAATAATAGGACCTTGTTTAAGGTTTTAATGAGGTTTTAATGTGAGGATTTAATGAGATATTCTACTTACAGTACTTGGCAAAATACCTGACTACTGTCTATCTACTACTAAGCACCATCATCATAATCTAAGTTCACAAAAATCCTATAGTCATTTACATATGGTCTTTTGTTTTTAAGAAGTACAGAAACTTATTTTCCAGCTCCAAAAGTGACAACAATTGTCTAGCACAGAGGAGGCCATGGACTAGCCCCTATGGCTGAGGACAGTGTTTTACTTGGTGTGATGAGCTTGTCCTCTGTGACTTTATCCAAGGCATTCATAGGACAGAATCAAGGTTTATGGATACTGATAAAAAAAAGCCTGTTGCCCATTGAGGATAAGCCACAAATCAGTCCCATTTGATTGTAGTTACTGAACTCTTTTTGAATTTGTTCCTACTGCTGTGGCCTTATCTTTTTCTCATCTACAGTGATATTTTGAAGGCTTACCAGCAGAACAGGGCCTGTGAAACAGAGGAAAGTGTCAAGCCCGTCAAATTTACAGAGTAACAAATTTAAGAGGTACAAGGTGTTAATAAACATTGTCAGGCAAGTAGCTTTTCATGACTGGTGCTGTGACTCCATTTCAATACTCACCTTATGATTTCTCTCTTAATTACCCAGGATTTGCTTTCTTAACACCATTTGGGCTTATTAGTTTTCTTGAGGTTGGCTTTCTCTAGAGTCAGCCTCAAATGTATTAACTTTAATTAACACTTGTTTCAACTTTATCCTTCGACATATTTTGGCAAAACACGGCACCTTGCAGTATTAGAACACAGCAAGCTATGGATTCCTGAGGGGGGTGGACACATGTAGAATGTCATCTGGGAGAAGTGTTCTTGTAGTGTGTTCCCTTTTCAGAGAAATCTTACTTCAGTCTAAAAACTTTGCAAAATAAAAATAAAATTTTTTTAAAAAGTTTGGGGAAAGATGAAGAGGGTTTCAGGGACAGTGACAGTTAAAGAACAGAAAAGTAAAATGTATGTATAAGGTGTTTTTATATATGAGTGTGTTGTATGTTAGAAATTCTACAGAAAAGGAAACATAACATAATAAAGTAGCCTTGTCCCTCCTATTGGCTCTCCCACCCCTACTTCTACCTTTATCGCATCCCACTTGAGTGACATAAACGCTTGAGGCCCGAGGTTTATCTTGCCCTGTCTAGACTAATGTCACAGACAGGAGACAGTGGCAGGGAAGGGTGGAATCCAGATCTCCTTATTCAAGTCTTCCTGAGACCCTACATTCTTTAGGCTTATTTGAACTCAGGAGAGAGAGAAGGATCCAGCTCGGTTACAAGCAAAACCAACTGCAGGGGTCCATTTGGGAAGTGAAGGCCATGTTAAACTTGGAGGTTTAACAGCCTCGCATCCCCGGATGCCTCATCCTCTTAGTGAGGGCTCCTCTCAGGGGACAGCCCCTCTGCCTCATTCAGCACCCTGTCCCCTTGTCTGTCTCACTTTGATCCATAGTTCTTGGCATTATTCTGTGTGCTCTGTGTTTTTCTTCTTTGTTCAAAATCTTTTCCTGCTAGAATCTAAGCTCTGCAGTGAAGGCATCTTTGCTTTGTTCATTGCTGAGTCTGCTGGACTTAAGATAACATCTGACACATAGTAGGTGCTCACAGTCTATTTGCTGAATGAATACATGGAGAAAGAATTTCATGGCCCTGGTGGTATTTTACTCTCCCTCCATCCCTGTTCCTCTGCAGGGCCCAGCCTGCATACAGGGAGAAACAGGTTGTCTTGCAGGCCTCCCTCCCTCCCTCCACTTTGCTTAAGCCAGAATTACTGGCCCTGCCAATAGATGAGAGTTGGAAGTCCCCTCCCAAGAAACACTTGTGCTTCATTTTGCAGGACAGTTAATCCCCATGTGGTTTGGACAAGCTAATCACTCATTATGAGAAATTTCTAAGGTAAAAGCCCCTGTAGCTACACTTCCCATTAATCAGTGTGTGTTTTATAGTCTATGTGTCACCTCAGCCACTCATCATATGTCACCTACTCCAGAAGCAAAGGAATTTTCCTACTGTTGTGTGTGTGGGTGTGTGTTCTAAAGTACCTTGATTTTTGTATTGTTTTTTCACCTGGCAGATCTGTTCATTGGAACAGTATTGTCAAGAATTTCCCCTCAGTTGTTGAAATAGCACATGTGCAGACCATTAGCACTGCAGTCCTGTTTTGAGTTGAAACTGGTGAATTTGGAGGACATACTTTGTGAGCTTACTTATTCTGCATTGGAATTGTTAAAATAAATAGTGTTGAGAATGCATGTGTGTATGTATGAATATATATATATATATAAATAAATATATATAAACTTAATGATAAATATATAGAAATTAAATGAATCAGGTTATAAAACTGTAGAGAATTTGTGAAATTTGTGGGGTCATAGTTTCCTAATTTTTAAAAAAATTGAGATGGTTAAACAAGAAAACTTTGAAAGCATGCAAATATAATTTTATATGTGTTGAAATATGTTGCTTTTCTCCTGGAGATCCAAGTTCATTGACTGTTCAAGTTGATTTGTAGGAGCTACATGAGAGTACTGAGAAATTTATAAGGCAGAGACCACTGTATCAATTGTTTTCATTAATGTATTCCTCACATACACTTTCTAAAGAGGGAGTGAGATTTCATCGTTTTTAGAACTTATTCAGTGTCTCCCTTTTGTGGCCCATCTGTTTCCTGGTCAGACAAGGTCATTTGCAAATGATGCTCTTATTAAAAGCCGGCCTTTGTGGAGGAAGGAGACCATGCACACTGGTATTTCCACATGGTTTTGAAAGCTAGGGTACTTTCTTATATACATTTCGGTCAGGAAGTTTGATAAATTTCCGAAATGTGGGTACATTTGTATGGTTATTGCTCCTTCTGGTGATTTGCTTTCTTAAGAAGAGGGTTTTTTTGTTTTTTGTTTTTTATTAGAACAAAGCAGTATTGCTTTTGAGTATTCAAATGTTTGGAAGCTGTGTTAAGTAAAAGTACATTCAACCTTGCTGACCTCACCAATATTTACTTTCAAAAACTTTCTAGTCACACATTGTTGACTTACTTCTCATGTCCATATGCACTTATTGCCTACCCCTAATTTAATTCTTACAGGAGAAATAAGAGCAGGTTGTCAAGGAGAAATAAAAGCAGGTGTTTGCCTCTCTTTGCTATTTGGCATACAATTTCTATTTTTTTTTTTTCTTGCAGTAGTAAGAAAGGGGCAAAATGAAAAAACATTCAAGTTTCATAAATAGCCAGTGGAGAAAAAACAATAGATGATATATGTGTACATAGACTATCTCATTTGTTTTATAGCTTGATGGCAAGAAATATTAAGCCAAGTGTCTCTGTATGCCTGAATTATTCTACATCTGTGTTTGTAAAGCACTAACCTGGCTTCTTCCAGGAGTGAGATCATTTCGTCCATGAATTTTAGAAGATTTACATTGTAACTGTACCCTTTGCAGTCCTATCATTTTCTTCCACTTAAGTATTTCTTCTTCTCTAACTGCCTTGACTATAAATAAAATATTGAGACTAGTTTCTTTGAACCACCCCTTCTCAGCTGTCATTCTGTAATCACACCTCATAAATGAGATGAAGGAAATATTGAAAAATGGTGAAACTTGACAGCACCTTTCTACCCAGGTCCTTTATTTCCCTCCTAAATGTACATTTTCAATATTGCTAATTTCAAGCTAGCAGAGGCCGGCCTTTGCTTTTCTTGGATGTTGGCAGTAAGGGTGAGGATCTTATTATAAAAGTATAAATATTGTATGTTGTATGCTATAACACTATGTTTTGTGAGCTAAACTTTTCCTTGATAGAGTACTCTTATTATACTTCCTACTATATATATAAAATGCCATTTCAATTTTCCTCTCCTGCTAGGTGAAATGCGGAATGATTTATATATCACTATAGAAAGGGGAGAATTTGAGAAAGGAGGAAAGAGTGTGGCCAGAAACGTGGAAGTTACGATGTTCATTGTAGAGAGTAGTGGCCAGACCCTGAAGGTATGTTAATGCAGAATTCTTTTTGGTAAAACAATTTCACATCCTTTCCTTGGGTTCTTCTTTAGTGCGATCAGTTGACTTATGATTTACAATATTTTCAATCTTATTTTTCTTCTCCACCCCCATATAGTTTGTTTGTTTGTGTTTAATCATGAAAAGAGGGAAAATAAGCTTTCAGTTTGTTTAATTAATCATGTCAAAAACATCCTCATAGCAGCTACTCCTTAAATGCAGCATTTTTATCCCATTTCATTTTTTTCTCTTTCATCTGTTATAGTTTTGGAGAGGTATACTTTTTCTTTGTGCAGTTGGTTTTTTTTTTTTTATTTTTAGTCTCTCAGTCATGTCTGACTCTTTGCAACCCCATGGACTGTAGCTCTCTAGGCTCTTCTGTCCATGGGATTCTCCAGGCAAGAATACTGGAGTGGGTAGCCATTTCCTTCTTCAGGAGATCTTCCCTACCCAGGGATCAAACCCTGGTTTCCCACATTGCAGGCATTCTTTAGTGTCTGAGCCCATATTTAATCCTATGTATTTTCATTATGACCAAAATAGGATGTGGAGATTAGAGTATTGCTGATCAGGGTGATCATTTCAGATTCCTTTGTGGAAGAAATATTTCATGGGAACCCCAGGGCTTACTGAGTTTTATAGGAAGGCACAGAAGGCTTTTGGCTGTGGCTGGTTGAGAATTTTGCTTTGTAGTTGACTCTGAGTTGGGCCCGCAGTTGCTCAGCTAGCATGTGTCACTGAGGTCCACCTTTGAGCAATTAGGCCCTGGGAGACCAGCCTCAGGATGAACCAAACACAGCCTGCCTGCAGAAGCAGGTGCAAAAACAGCCCCGAAGAGGACTGAGGACGTAATTTCACATTAAGTACTGATTTGGGAGCACACAGACACAGCAAAGCAATTGTTCTACTCCTTCCAAAATCATCTTGAAATGAAGCTGTCTTTAACCTGCGTGTTTCCTTTGTCAGGACTTTATATCCTTCGGCTCTGGAGAGCCACCGGCTAGCGAGTACCACTCCTTTGTTCTTTATCATAACAACAGCCCCAGGTGGTCCGAGCTGCTGAAACTTCCTATCCCCGTGGATAAATTCAGGGGTGCGCACATCCGCTTCGAGTTCCGGCATTGTTCCAGTAAGTGGATGGAGTGTCTCCGTGGCCTTGTTATGTTGGGTATTGCTTACTAAGCTGAAACAACAGTGTGGGATAGTCTGTAGAAAGTGCGTCACCAACCAGAGACCTCCATGAGAGAGAAATGGAGGTGAATGGAATCCTGGGAGGTGAATGGGTGCTATTCTCAAAAAACCAATAACCTCTATGGAAAGAGATGAAAGAGGAGGAAACGAAGTAGCTGTAGAAACCTACAAGGTTTTTCTGAAGATGATCACTTTCATAAAAATCAATTCATCACTTTCACAGTCTAGGAAGACTACACAGAAAGAGGAGATGCGTTATTAAAGGCCTGACTGGCTTGTGTGATCTTAGGCACCCCTGACCCTTGTGCTGTCTTTTCAGCCAGGAGCTGATCTAGCCCTTAGACAGCTCAAGGGAATCCTCGTGGACTTTCCTAGGCATGTGAAGTTACCAGGAAAGCCTCTGATTGGCTCAGGTTCATATTTGATTTGCATATATCTGTTATCACTGTGTGTTCTCAAATGTGATTGGCACTTTACAGGACTAGCAAGGAGGCCAGAATGAGCAAGTGAGAGAGTTGGAGGTGAAACCAGAGAGGGACCAGCAGAACCAGATCCTCTGTTGTGTTTTAGGTCATGGGAAGGAGGACTTTGGACTTTATTTGGAGTGAGAAAGATGCATTAGAAGTTTTAGATTGAAGTTAAGTCTGCCCACTGTATGGATGATAGATTGTAGGTGGGCCAGATGGGAACAGAAAAGCCATTCAGGAGGCTTTTGCAGAATTCCAAGTACGAGATTTAAGTGGTTTGATTCTTTTATACAGATTTATTGACAGATTGGATGTGAAAGGAGGAGAAAATTCAAGGTTGATCTCAAGATTTTGGCCTCAGAGTGAAGGGGTCATTTAATGAAGTGGGGAAGACAACAGGAAAAATCTGTTTGGAGAGAAAAAAATCAAACATTCCATTTTAAATATGCTAAGTCTGAGAAGTCTATTAGATATTCAAGATCATCAAGTAGACAGTTGAATGAGATCCAAGCTGGAGACTTAAACTTGATAATGAGAACATGTAGTTCATTGGTGTGCTGTAAATATTTAACCAGCACTCAGAGTGATGGAGAGGGGAGGGGAAGCCCTAAATTATGGCACTTGCTGACTTCCATGGGGTAAATACTCCTACCATGGTCAATTTCAAGCTGCCAACATGACGTCACTGATCTTGTAGTTGAGGGAAGATGCATACTGTTAGTTCTTACGAACCAGTACAGGTCAGCTCCAGCATATCACGGATATCCCTGGTTTTCAAAGCCGAAACTGGACAAGATGTCTACGTATAAAGTTTAGATAACAAAGGGAAGTCCAAGAATGGATCCTTGGGTCGTTGACACATTTGGATTTGGGGAGAGTGAGTAGTCATTAAGAAGATTAAAAAGGAATAGCTAGAAAGGTTGAAGGAGAATCAGGAAGAATAGAACCTAGGAGACTAAATAAAGAAAGTTTTTCACAAGGGGATTGATCACATGTCAGGTGCCAATGATAAATAAATTAAGAACCAAGAAATGATCTCCTGATTTGGCATCATGGAAGTCATTGAACCTGACATGTGGTTCTCTTGGATTTGCGGAGTTGAAAGCTGAGTCAGTCAAAGAGTAAGATGGAGAAAAGGAAGGGCAGGCAGTGAGTATAGACAGATCTTTTAAAAAGCTTTGCTATAAAGAATACTGGTGAGCAGAGAAGTGAGATAGTAGCTATAAAACAAGTTGGTCATAGGAAGTTTTTGCCGTTGTTTCTTTTTTTAAATGGAAGTTTTAAAGTATGTTTGTTGGGAGAAATCATTCAGTAGAGGGGAAAACCTGATGATGTAGAGAGCGGAGACGCCTGTAGGAGCAGTGTCCTTGAGTTGGGGAAGGAGCACAGGACCTAGGACTCAAGGATAAAAGTTAGCCTTGGGTGGGAGAATGGGCAATTCAGGGCTAGGAGGGCAGATGCAGGTGAGTGATAGGTGGATGTGAGGGTGAGAGGGAGTGCTCTCTCCGTGAGCTGAAAGTGAAAGTATCAAGGTATTGGACGCTTGAGAGACGAGGAGAATGGATGAAATTATTGTCTAGAAAAGTAGAGGAGTGTGCTGATTGGGTAAATGTAGAGAGTTTGCCTATCGCAGGACGCTTTTGTAGTTAGTGTGCATTAATTAAGCTTAGATTAGGCATAGAATAAGCCACAAATTGGATTCTGCCAAGGTGTAGTGTTATGAGTGGACTATGTATTATGGGAGGGTTGAGGGTATTTTCACTGAGGTGATTAGAATGATGGGCTATAGAAATGGAAAGTGGAAGTGGAGGGGTAAAGAGTGGTGAGTCAATATATTGGAGGTCCCAGGGGGCAGAATTGTGCAAGTTGAGCTACAAGAAGAAATATATTGGAAAGTCAAGAGGTGAAATCCATAGATTCAGGGGTTTTATTAATAAAAGGGGATTGTATTATACATATTATATGTAACAGTCTATTTAGTTCATTAATCCTGATCTAATAGCCTAGGGGAAAAGGCTACGTACTTTAAACTTTACTTGGTATTTATATTATCTTATAACCAAGGGCACATTTGGGGAAGCTATTGCTTTGTTCCTTACCTTTGCTAATTTTATGCATCTTGGAATTTTGTTTATCTTTCCGAATTGAATACCAAAAACCACACCAAAAAGACAGTCAAAGCAACTTAAGAAATTATTTCTAAATAAGTCTTGCCCCGTGAATCACAAGTTCCATACCCAGCACACTCACTGACGTAGAAATCTCTTTCCAGAGATCTTTGCTGTGACTTTTGTTTGAAGGGTGTTGGTATTTCCCCATTTTCTCTCTAGGCTTGGAATTAATGATTTAAAAAGAAAATCCTCTACTGTAATCACAATTCAGGGCTGCCCTCATGCCAGGAACCTAACCCAGCCAGCTAGAATTACTGTGTGCATAGGGTCCCACATCCCTGTGGTTAAATGCCAGAAAGAATTGGAAGGGGATAATGTGTTTATTATTAGAGTCTCTTGTCTGATCCTCAGGATCTGACTCTTCTAGCATGGGGCTTACTGTATGCCAAAGCTGGACTTTTCTGTCAGTTGTATGGGCAAGAATAACAGGCCAGCCCATGATGGCTGCCAGCCTGCAACTCTTCTCTGCATGTCTAAATACAAGGACAGAGTCCAGTTGAACAAACCAGATTCTCTTTCATGTGGTCTTCATTTTTGGAGAAGCTGAAGCTGGGTTGAAAGTACTAGAATGGCACACAAGAGGTCTGGAGCAGGTGGCATTGTGATAGACCTCTCTGTTTCCTTATCTGTAAACAGTTGCCAATGACCCTTGTTCTAGCCATTGTAATTCAGTTAGGCATCTGAAAACCTCATTGCCTCATTTCTGGCATACAAATACTACTGCAGTAAGCTCTTATCAAACTGTTAATTGCAGTTTATGTTTGTCTGCATGTCTGATTCCAAGGAGGTGGCTTTCAGAGGTCTCTGTTTTTACATGTGTCTGTAGGGAGAGTTCATTCATTCACTCATTCATTTGTGTTCCATACATTTGTTGGGAGCCTACTATGTTCTTGGCATTCTTTGAGATACCAAGCATAGAGTAAAATAAAGCAGACAAGAATCTTGCCCTGAATGGTATTTATGTTAAGGGGTGGATGTTGGGTTGTGAGGAGAAGAAACGGGAAATCTACAACTTCAAAAAACAAACAAAACATGTAATTTCAGATAGTGAATCCCTTGAAGAAAATTAGTCAAGGAAAATAACTTACGGTTATGAGGCAGGACCATGGGGTTAGAGGGTGGCCACTGTAAACAGAAGTCCCGTCATAAGAGCTGCTCTTCATTGTGCAAAGGGAGCGGGAGTGGGGTGGGGTTCTATTTCTTCATGATCACTCATCTCCACAATCTGTGTGTCTGAACACAAGTTGTGTAAGCATACAGTGAAATAACTGACTGATTCTTTTTTTTCCTTCTACAGCAAAGGAGAAAGGAGAGAAGAAATTGTTTGGCTTCTCCTTTGTTCCCCTGATGCAGGAAGATGGTAGGACACTTCCAGATGGCACGCACGAGCTCATTGTGCATAAGGTAACATCAGTCAGAGGTTGGGGGCAGTTGTGAAAAACAGGGCAGAAGTAGTAACTCACAGTCTTACCCTCACTCTGGAAAAGAGAAAAAATGGACTGCAAAGATACTCTTTTGGATGATTGCTGGCAGGGAGAGTGCATTTTTGAGAGTAGTATCTCTAGGTTCTGTCATATTCTGATATGTATTTTAAAGATTTTTTTTTTCACTTAATTGAAATAAGGGTATTTGGCCAAGTCTATAGGGTGACCTTGAAATTCTATCCATGGCTGTGATAGGATTAGATAAACCTTACAAATAAAGTTTTTAATATTTTAATATATTAATATTTTAAAAATATTCCCAATACTTACTTTCTTATCTGTATACCCCAGGAGTAAATTTTGCAAGGTCACCTTTCCATTTGTCTTGTTTGCTGTTCTCACGAAGCAAGGGAGAAGTAAGTGGCTGTTCTTTGTCATGACAACTTCAGTGGTTGTTTCTCTCTATTTTTTGCTGCAAGAATTGGCATGCAAACATTTAAACATTTGGGGGGGAAAAATATAGTGTAGTAGGCAATAAAAAGAAAATTCACCTAACAGGAGATCCTTAGGAATTATCAGAGAATACTAGTAATAATGAAATACAGAACAGAAGCACTCGTAACTATGAAATCAAGCACTAAAGTATATGATCTTCTCCAAAATCTTTCTCCTTTGCATTTCTCCTTTTCTGTAACCACATGCTCTTCCAGGCTCTTGTTAGCTCTTGGCTCACTAGTCCTGCCCACCTGGGTCTTCTCTGCCTTTAGTCCATTTTCCAGTTAGCCATTAGGGTGACCTATCTAAGGTGCAAATCTTACCAGGCCCCTGCCTGACTTCAACCCGTGGAAAAGCTTCCCATTGCCAACAGTGGAAGTGGCAGGCTTTCAGGTATGTCGGGCTGCCTCCTCCCTTATGCCTCATGTCATCCCATTTCCAGTCCTCTACTTAATGCCCCAGTCACTCCCTGCCTGCTGGTTCCCCCAGTTCCACTTGACATTCCTGCAGCCATGCTTCCCCTGTCTCCCAACAGTTGTCTCCTCCTCATCTGCAGAGGCTCACCTGGGCCAGAACCTTTGGGAAAACAGTCCCCTCACCCTAGTTCCTACTTTCTGTGTTCCCAGCTGACGATGTGCCCGCCCATGAGTTCCCCGGGTATCTGCAGGAATCTCTTACCATTGTCCTCATTACACTGTCAAACAGTTGTCTGATGACCCCTTAACTCACCAGGGTAGGCTTAGGAGCCCTTCTGGAGCAACAGCTGAGTCAGAGGGGTTCTGGCATGTGGCCGATGTGCAGTGAAGATACACTGAGTGAAGGAAGGTGATGACACAGACTTTCTTTACATTTGGATTATTGCTGGTAAAATGAGTGTCCATGCACAAGACACCGGGTAATTTTTGTTTGTGCTTTGGTATGTATGTGCATATTTCTTGAATCATTTATTTTATGGTTGGTTCTTCAGTGCATTGACTACCACAGACCACAGGCCAGACATTCTTCTAGGAACTGGGAATATAGTGGTGAATAAGACCATTAAAGTGCCTCCATTTCTGGCACATATATCCTCTAGGCTTCAAAAGTGACTTAAAGGAATTCGTGATGTTAAAATACAGGGAAAAAATATTTTCAAGTAGAGTGACACTACGGCACACAGAGGATTTAAATGCACTAGATACATGAGATGATCTATAAATAAATCTATAAATAAAGGTCTGCGGCCCCTTTATGTGAGATGGGTAATATGACAGGCTGTGTCTTCAGCTACAGTTTTCCAAAAGACGTAAGTGGTACTTGACATGAATGTTTGTGATCTTGACTCTGTGTACCATTAAATCTTCACACAGAAAAGGCAGGGCTAAGGTAATTATTAACTTCCTAATAATATTTAGAAGAATAAATCACTTCTTTATGACATTTCACAAGGCTTCCCAAGTGGCACAGTGATAAAGGATCCACTCACTGATATAGGAGATGCAAGAAACATGGGTTTGATCCCTAGGTTGGGAAAATCCCCTGGAGGAAGAAATGGCAACCCACTCTAGCATTCTTACCTGGAAAATCCCATGGACAGAGGAGCCTGGTGAGCTACAGTCCACGGGGTCGAAGAGAGTCAGACATGACTGTGCGTACATGACATTGCACAATGTAGGCTCTCTCACCTGTGGCTTGGAGGGTTTTTTTTGGGTGGCAGGTACTAACTTTCCAGTCAAGTCTGGGTTGACTTCCTCTAAAGAAGTATAAATAATATTAAGACTCTTAGCTGCTGATTAGAGACACCCATGTACTTTAAAATGCCAGGAGGACAGGTAGCAGGGCTTGCTTCTACATGTGAGCATTTAGCAGTCCAGCTGATATTGGTTCCCAGGCATAGGCTCATTCTACTCCCATTACCTGGGGTCTGTCAGGATGCCTTTGACAGAACCACCATTTTTCTCAAAAGTGGAGCTTTGAATCATCTCAAGCCCTTGCACAAATTTTCAGTGCACAAATTTTCAGTGGATACACAGAACTCCAATCCAGAAAGCATAAGAAAATTTATTTGAGCATCAACAGTGTAAAAAGCAGCTCTTCCCAGTGATCTTCCTCCATCACAAAGGAGGCTCAGGATGGTATCTGTAGATCATCTCATACGGGGCAGGCCTATGTTGTATAGACCCATGAGGAAGCATTAGCTCCACCGAACAACCCTAAGCAGTTGAGTCTTATGATTAGGATTATTCAGCATTGCTTAAAGAGAACTGGAATACCTGTCAAGCATACATCTTTTGTTTTTCATCTAGTTGACGCCATGGTTTTTTTTTTCATAGTACTGAACCAAGAAGTACAATTTCTACTTAAGGGCACTTGCAGGTTATGATTATAAAATGGTATTATGAGCATAATGTTATTCTTCCTCTGCCATGATGGGCAGTCTCACAGCCTGCTGATGATTACAGCCTTGAATTTATTAATTTAAAAATTTGAATGAAAAAGGAAGCTAGGAAGAGGAATGGATTTCAAATTATGGGGTAAAAAAATAGCCCATTTAATAAGTGATGTTGAGATAACTGAGATGACCACAATAGGTGTTGCAGGAAAAAATTAAGCTCTGGGTCCCTACCTTGCTTCTTATACCAAAGCAAATTCTGATTAAACGTAAAAAATAAAACTGTAAGAGCCTTTATAATATGAGTGAACATTTTTAGAAAGTTAAGGTAAGGAGGGCCTTTCTAATGATCCCTCTTCGGTGTTAGAAATTGGGCTTCCCTGGTGGCTCAGAAGTTAAAGCGTCTGCCTGCAGTACAGGAGACCCGGGTTTGATCCCTGGGTCGGGAAGATCCCCTGGAGAAGGAAATGGCAACCCACTCCAGTATTCTTGCCTGGAGAATCCCATGGAGGGAGGAGCCTGGTAGGCTGTAGTACATGGGGTCTCAAAGAGTCGGGTACCCCCAAAATGTATAACTTTAGCTACATAAAGTTTAAAACTGATTTATTTATAAGATCATATAGACTGTAGCATGATAGTCTCCTCAGTCCATGGGATTTTCCAGGAGTGGGTTGCCATTTCCTTCTCCAGGGGACCTTCCCAACCAGAGATCGAACCCAGTCTCCCACATTGCAGGCAGACTCTTTACCATCTGAGCCACTAGGGAATCCCTCATAGTAGGATATTTAAAATCTACTTTCCTCCTCATGTAAGTTTCTGGTTTAGAAGATTCATTTCTACAGTAAACTAAGAAAAAAAAATTGGTATGCTGAAAACTGTTTAATAGCCTAATTTGGGCCTAAAATTTATGAAAGAGATAATAATTTACCCTTGTGACAGTGACTGGATTTCTGAGTGTGTTTTAAGGAAATCATTGTGACAGAGTTATCATCAGTCAGTGGTCTGGCAAGAACCTGGATTCATCCTTTAGGGCAGAACCTGAAGAATTCTGAGGGCAAAGCTCCCTTTCAAAGTCATTTCACCTTTACATAATTGATAGTATGTTTGCAGTGGTATTCCATGGAGATAACCTCTGAAATCTACAAAAATCCAAATATTATAGCTTTAGAAAGGGAAGTGAAAGAACTTGATTAGTCATCATTAAAGATTTTATGCTTCCAGGGTCCCTTTTCAGCTCTGAGGACATCATTAATATCTCCAAGTAGTTGACGGCCAAGTCCAAAACTTGTCTTTGAAACTCCTAAGTTGATTGTAACAGCATTTAATCTTGCTAAGTTTTGTTATTTTGCTGCATTCTGCTAGGTTTGTTGTCTTCCTTAAATTTGTAGAGATATTTTTGGCTACTCCTTGCCAACTACCTGTTGGAAAGCAAAATTAAAAAAAGAGATTTAAATAATAGGCTTAAGAAAATTCATTTTCCAAAGGTCAAGTCTGTTAAAGATAATAATATGAAGGTTCAAAAAAGAAGGATAGGAAGTTAATAACTGTGCACTCAAGTCTTCATTCTGACCTATTCTAGTGAAGGATTTTTATTTCTTTGAAGTACATGCCAAAATACTCTCGGGTCTAGTTTGTGTGTATAGATAAACAAATAATAATACAGTCTACTTTTAAAGAAATTGGGGTTTTGCAAATTCATTATGTTGATTAACACCACCATGACTCAAGTGACCCAACTCAGCCAGACTTGGGGATTTGCTTAGTAGAGAATCTTGATTCCTTAGGGTGGGATTTATTGTTTCTGAACAAGAGAAGGGTCAGATAAGAAATCAGCTAAATAGAGGATGATCGTGTTTCCTGGTTGGAAAGGGATTAGTTTAATGTATGGCCTAGATTGCAAGAGTCTTTGATGAATTCATTTCACTTTTGCTCCCTAGAAGTTTGTTCATAAATGCTTTGTGTCTCATTTTTTCCCTGCAATGTTTCAGTTTCTTATGCTATACTCTAGTTCCCTACCTGATCCAGAGAAGTCCAACACAGCCCCTCTGCACTAGTTACCTTCTTTGAGGTGAATTTCTCAGATTGAGTTGCTTTCCACTTATTCTTTCCTATAC